AATGATTCGTATCAATTTTTATTCTCTTATAAAGAAATTAGAGAATCAGTACCGAAAATTGAAGACAGATCAATATTTTATTTATTCATCAAATTAACGCGGATAAATGAACGACTCGTATGAATTTTTTTTTTCTTATAGAGAAATGAAAGAGTAAATCAATACCGAAAATCGAATATCGATCAATACCGTAAATCAGTGTCAAAAAATTGTCCAAGTGCAATGACAATTTGTTTTCATTTTTCAGGTACTTACCGCTCTAAACGTATTCAACAAATTAACTCGGATAAACGAACGATTCGTATCAATTTTTTTTGTCTTATAAAAAAGTGAGAAAATAAATCAGTACTGAAAACTGAAGACTGATCAATACCATAAATCAATGTCAAGAAAATTGTCCTAGTGCAATGGCAAGTTGTTTTCATTTTGCAGGTACTTACCCCACTAATTTATTCAACAAATTAAGTCGAATAAAAGAACGATTCGTATCAATTTTTATTCTCTTATGAAGAAATTAGAGAATCAGTTAGTACCGAAAATTGAAGACCGATCAATATTTAATTTACCGACCGATCAATATATAATTAATTATTCATCAAATTAACGCGGATAAATGAACGATTCGTATGAATTTTTTTTTTCTTATTGAGAAATGAAAGAGTAAATCAGTACCGGAAATCGAATATCGATTAATATCGTAAATCAAAATTTATATCGCTGTTTAATTCCATCGTCGCAAAAGATTTGACGTTTTCTCTATCCTAGTCCTAACTTGTAGAAAATTTGGTACTCATCTCTATTTGACAAAAGTACGTCGGACTTTCTGTACTAACTAATATAAAAAATTTTTTTCATTCTTATTTTCTCTACGTCTAATATTTTAATACCGATTCTGTCAAAATGGACCGGTCTGCAGAAATTCTGGCAAGACGTTTCTCTCTTTTTCTCGCTCTCCTCTCTCTTCGTCTCTGAATTGCCGCTAACGATCGAAAACCGCAAACGGAAAGTAACGAAAATTGATTCATCCAACTGAAACGTTCTCAGTGTTATTTTTTAAGCATTGGATAAATACCGATCCGGCGTTTTGTCAAATATCTAACAAAAGTATCTCCGTTTTTTCTTGCCGACATTCAAATCGATAGTTTTCTACAAGTTAGGATTTGATAAAAAAAAGTCTTTCCCGAGTCGAAATATTAATTCTACATTAATCCTGCAAATTGCATCCAATTTGAAAAATCTATGCAGAATATCTAGATGTGCAATAGTGAACAAGCTTTGTCCTACCTGAACGTTACATCTGGCTACTCTTGCAGTCTCGCCCATGATGAGTCTTCAACAGCGACGTATTCCGCAGTTATTTAATACTCGTTTATCTCGATAATGTATATGTACTTAATCCTTATATTCTTAATTTAAATGAGCAATTTTTGTTGATGTTGATTATATATTCGCTTAACAGCGCAAGAAAGAGAACAAAGATAAAAACGTAAATAGAACTGTTTTTGTTAGAACGCGTGAGATAAATATATAAGGATTAAATAATCATGTAAGAATTAGAGGAAATGGGAGATGAAAAACACTTTTTATTCTCATCATTCTTAAAGTTCTTTTTTCTTTTTTTCTTCTCTTTTTTTTTCTTTTCTTTTTTCTAATGAGAATGATGAGAATTGTAGCTCTCAAAAGAGATGAAGCTGCAAAGGCAAAGACAACGGTTATGTCTAATAATGCTGTTTCACTAATAGAGATTTTAATTCAGATTCGGATACAATAAGAAAGATAAACAAGAATAAGAAACGGACATTCTAGCAGATTCTAAACGAAAACAGCAATCTGAGCATTATTAGACGAATAAAAATCAACACTTGTAAAATTTATATCAGATTCTAAGATCATTATTCATAATTTTCTAAATTATGTGCAACTTTTTATTGAAAACATAATTAAAAATTTGTATTCATAAACTTTAGCTTGCCTCAGCAACCTTGCTTGAATAGACATTCATATTTTATAAGAAAAGAAAAGCAGAACTCATGTTACGTGAAATTAGGTTAACGAATAATCAAATCTCAAGCTATTTTATCATTTTTCAGATGATAAACTATGAATGCTGATCTAATTTCGACTCGGGTATGTCCTTACTTCGAGTAAGGTCCGTTAAAATCAGAAAAATCCTGCGTAATAATAACTCGAGATACCTCGAATACCATACATGATGTATCGCTGTCCACGCCTCTCGGCGCGCTCCAAGTCCTCTCTCCATCCTGACTTCTCGATCCGACGTCCTCCTTCTGGTTACTCCGTCGCAGCACCCCTGGATACTCCATCGTAGCACTGGCGACGACACTGACTCTAGCTCTAACACTCGCGCAAGTAAGATTCGGGAACAAAGAAACGCGTATTAACCGATACGACTATCGACACTCGTACTCTGCGTCGCGGTATGCGCATCGTTCGGCGGCCCGAGGCGCAATGTCCTTTCCGCAATCACGGAGTCATATATAAGCGTACGAAACCAAACAATCAGGGAGGCACGGTTACCCCCCACCTTGCCGATCAGTGTTGATGCCTGCGTCATCCGTTAGCTGAAAATGAAAACAACTCGTGTTTTCAAAGCATGCCTGTGAGAGACTCGCTTCAAACTTCACAATACTTATTTACGTCTGTTCCAAGAATCATTATGCCGAATTCAAACTGTCTCTATTGACATGACATACACGAGATCTGCGATCGCATCATTGATCTTTCTTTGGGCAAGAAAATCCTGAGAGGAACGCTGTTCGAGAATATCACATTTTATGTTTCAGGTGCCTTGCAGATTATCGAATCCGATGTAATAGATCAGGAAAAGTATGAATGCATCGTTATGAATAACACCGTGGGCACGGAGTACTCCAAGTCAGTCACGTTATACGTGAAACATACGTATATTTAATATTATATAAAACTTACCTTTTTAAACAGAAAGGTAAAAAAAGGCGCCAAGTACAAGCGCAACACGTATTGTGTTATTTTTAGAAGTATCAAACTAAAATTATTTTTTTTATTATATATATATGTACATAAGTTTTTACAAGTAAAACTTATAACTATAATAAAACTCTGCAACACTTTTCTACTGTACAAAAGAAGTGATATATTAGAACAGTAGCACCAACTGAGAAACCTAACATATATATACAGGGTGTTTGATAGCTGATCATGCAGACGAAAGTTGGAGATAGATGGGGTGTAGTCGAGAAGAAAAGTCATGTACCATAATGTCAAATTGGCAATAGTTATCGAGTTAATAATTAAAACATATGAGCCAACGAGCGCGTAGAGAGCGGAGGGCGACCGCAGTAAGCATATAGACATTTGATACAGGCGGAGTCAGCGAGTGACGATAGGCGAGCGCGCGCGGCGAGGGGCAACGTAAACAACAAGAGGCGAACGCGCGCGACGAGGAGCGAGCGAGCGCGAACGACGAGGAGTGAGCGAGCGCAAGCGACAAGAGGCGAGCGAGCGCGACGAAGAGCGAGCGAGCGCGAACAACGAGGAGCGAGCGAGCTATAAGGAAAAAGCTATAAAGAAAAAGCTTTTTCTTTATAGCTTTTTCCTTATAGCTCGCTCGCTCCTCGTCGTTCGCACTCGCTCGCTCCTCGTCGCGCGCGTTCGCCTCTTGTTGTTTACGTTGCCCCTCGCCGCGCGCGCTCGCCTATCGTCACTCGCTGACTCCGCCTGTATAAAATGTCTATATGCTTACTGCGGTCGCCCTCCGCTCTCTACGCGCTCGTTGGCTCATATGTTTTAATTATTAACTCGATAACTATTGCCAATTTGACATTATGGTACATGACTTTTCTTCTCGACTACACCTCATCTATCTCCAACTTTCGTCTGCATGATCAGCTATCAAACACCCTGTATATATATATATATGATTATTGTATACTTAACTTAATATTTTTAGAAATCTCAAATTCAAATTATTTTCTTTTTTAAGATATATATTATATACGTAACATAAGTTTTTATAATATATGTACATAAACTTTTAAAAGTAAAAATTATATCGTGTTATAAAAATTTAACACGTTTGTTAATGGTGTCCAATATTACAAAAAAATATATTTTTAAATATTACGTACATAACATAAGTTTTTAAGTAAAACTTATCAAATTATTTTTTTTGTAAGATATATATGTACATAAACTTTTAAAAGTAAAAATTATATCGTGTTATAAAAATTTAACACGTTTGTTAACACGTTGACTGCCACGGAATTTTTCACGATTCCGGTTTAAAGAGCCAATTTGATTTAATCATGTTATATTATTAAAAACTTTAATAATAGTACATAGTAATAATCAAAAAGCGTAAAAAATGTTTTCTTTTAAAAAAACATTTTTTTTTCTCTTTCCTGAGGCCATCTATTCATATTTACACTGTCACTGCTACGAGTTTCCTCGTAGCTGTACAAATATGGCAAGTAATGAAGGGACGAGATAACTCGTAGTTAGGCGTCCTGGGCAAGTAAACAACCTACGAGATATCTCGTAGTTGGCAGTCAACGTGTTAATAGTGTCCAATATTTAAAGAAAAATATCCGGAATGGATGTAGCATGGATTGCCACCACATACAGGTTTTACCGCCGAAACCTGAAAGTGGATGTAGCATCGTAGTTCCCCTCTTAAAATGGATGCAAATGGCGACCTTTCCCAGTGCGGAAAGTCGGTGTCGTCGAAAACACCGTGTTGGCCGCTCTCACGTTCCTCTCAGCTATTAAGCCAGCGGCATACGGTGCTTGTTTTCGTGCTGGATTGCTTGCTAGATGAAAATATCGCGTTCTGATTGGTGCATTTCCATCCATCTTCGGGAATGTACCAATCAAAACGCAGTATTTTCATCCAGCAAGCAATCCAGCACGAAAACAAGCACCATGTGCCGCTGGCTTTAGTTAATTTACCAAGGAGTTGGAAACCTGCCCTGTCTATGGTCCATGATGTTGGCAGGATCGGCTGTGTCGCCCTCGGCCTCTCGACCAAGCCAAAGGCGAACTAATCAGTTCTGTCACCAGTAAAACAATGGGACTCAAGTGGGAGTTAGGAATAGGACTCCCTGTTTGTCTGTATATAGTTTTTTGATTCACTAATATATGTGCTATGTGATCTCTGAATAATTATATTAATTATATGTGCTATGTGATCTCTGAATAATTATATTTATGATTTCCATGCGTAGAGCAATATAATATGGCACCTACTATTCAAACCAATCAAACCGAGAGAGATAAACATCCGGCTAGGCCAGCGGAGAAGAGGTAAGTCGCTTCAAGTAATTTTAATAGAGGTAAATTGAGTAATTAATTGAGTAATTAATAGAGGTAAATGAGGACATTGATACGTCGGGTCTCTTTTTGCTCTAGGTCCGAATTAATATGTCGTGTTAAATATTGCAATACACTGCCGGACATTCCATTTGATCCGAAATTTATAACATATCCCTTTGAGCCATCCAGGTAAACAGCAAAATGTGAAACTCTGTATTGACATGTATATGTCTATTTCTTTAATAATAGCCTGTTATTTTGCAATATAGATTTATTCGTTACAATCCGACATCGTTAGAGCGGAATTACAAGTACGAAGTACTGACAGAACATGATTTGGGTGTCGAGATTGATCTGATAAACAAGGATACATATGCAGGGGATCCTAATGCGCAGTTGGATCCAGCTGATGAGAAGCTACTTGAGGAAGATGTTCTTACACCACAAGACTCTAAGAGATCCAGACATCATGCTAGAAGTGTATCTTGGCTTAGACGTACTGAATATATTTCTACAGAAACTACCAGATTTCAACCACAGAGTGTAGATAAGGTTGAAGCTAAAGTTGGTTATAGTATTAAGAAGAACTTTAAGGTATGATATACTTATTACTTAAGATTACTTATGTTGTATACAATATTTGCATATTTCCTTTGACATATTTACTTATTTTCAATCAGGAGGAAACATTATATATGGACCGTGAGAGTCAAATAAAGGCTATAGAAAAGACATTTGAAGACAATAAGAAGCCAATTGAAAGGCATTACAGCAAACCAAATGTAATACCTGTAGAGATACTACCAGTATATCCAGACTTTAAGGTACTTTTACAATAATGTCTTAACGTAAACATTACAATATCTATTATGGTATTATCCTTTGTTTATCTGTGTTTTCAAATTGTAGTTGTGGAAATATCCATGTGCTCAAGTTATATTTGATTCTGATCCTGCACCATCTGGACGCTCTGTACCTGCGCAGATTGAAGAAATGTCTCAAGCTATGATACGGTAAGCACAAAATATATATGCAATTTTAGTCTTAACTCTTAGATGGCGAGTTCCATGCGAGATTGTTACTTTATTGCACAAGATGATGCACAATGAATTTTGTAGGGGTGTGATGGATGAAAGTGGCGAACAGTTTGTGGCATACTTTTTGCCACTAGAGGAAACGTTAGATAAGCGCCGACGGGACTTTACCGCTGGTATTGACTACGCTGATGAGGAGGAATATGAATACAAAATGGCGAGGGAATATAATTGGAACGTCAAGAGCAAAGCTTCCAAAGGATACGAAGAGAATTATTTCCTCGTGATAAGACAAGATGGGGTATATACATCATTGTGGAATAATAGCGTTATATTACATATATGTTATCAGTCTCATGACCAATTGTCTCGTACAACGTAGGTCTATTATAACGAGCTAGAGACACGCGTGCGGCTGAGTAAACGTCGTCAGAAAGCTGGGCAGCAGCCGAATAACACGCGCTTGATAGTGCGTCATCGACCGCTAAACGCTATCGAATTCAGAATGCAAAGATACCGAGAGAAGCAATTGGAACCACCAGGAGAAGATGACGAAGATGAAGAGGAAGAAGAGGAGGAACAAGAGATTCAACAGGAGGTGGAGAAAGCTGATGGAAAAGGTTTGCAACTCAATGCGTTCGTTACGTATTGTTTCTTTGCCATATATTTTGAAAAGAATCTACCACGGCTAATACCAACGCAAATCTCGTAGGTTCCGAAGGAGAGAACGAGGTGGGTTCCCAGGCATCATCGAGACCGTCCTCGCGGGTTTCCAGCAGGAAATCGCGATCTCGCTCGAAATCCGCATCGAGATCAAAATCTCGCTCACGTTCACCGTCCAAGTCTAGATCGCGTTCTCGATCGCGCTCCGCGTCGCATTCGCTGTCTAGATCACGATCGAGGTCTGGTAGTCCTCAGTCTAGGAACTCATCTAGGTCAAGATCGCGATCCAAATCTGCGTCGAGGTCGCGCTCCGTATCCCCTGCCAAATCACCGTCACCGCGATCTCGATCAAGTTCCAAGTCCAGATCGAAGTCACGTTCGCAGTCGAGATCAAGATCCGTTAGCGGTAGTGGCAGCGATACCGGCAGCGCAAGCGGCGAAAGCGGTTCCGAGAGCGAGTGAATCAAGTAGCATATGGCAATAACGCGATTTTCCCATTTTCTGAGCATTGTCATTCTTGTCTCATTTATTTTCCCATTATTTCAGCCAATATTCGTTCACGCACACGTTACTTCTTCAAAGGATCATGTCGAAAAGAGTATCAGAGTAATGAATTTGAAAATATTCAAGGTCGATTCTTGACGATGGATATATGTATATGTATATACAATTGTTAATAGAGTATATGAATTCTAAGCATTAGATAAAGAATAAAAGGAACGATATATATTTGGAAGCATCCCTCTACACGCGTAGGTGTGTACACTCGCGGACATAATAGTTAGTGAGCTTTTTTTAGTAACTTTCGGAACGCATTCTGACTTGAGAAGGATGAAAGCTGTTGCTCTGCCTGCGGAGCACGTCTGCGCAGTGACTTACAACGTAGACAAAAAATGACATACGAAATGTCAAATACGTAAGCATTGACGTTCGCGTGGAAGATGTTCCGCAGGACTCGCCGTGGCTGCGCACCGATTTCGGGCAAATATTGAACTGGAAAAAAGATACATTACAGTTCATAACAAGAAACATAAATTACGTTGGAAATTTCTTTCAATATATGTGATATTTGTCTATAACAGAAGAGAATTAATAATAGGCATCACAAGCAGGATGTGAAAATTATTTAAGACCAATATCTATATCTATAGGTAAGAACTTGCATAAATGCAGATAAAGGTGCCTCATAGCCCCACTCCTTCAACTCATCCTTCGCTATTTCTATGAGAGGCTTATTCTTGTCCACGATACCAGCACAAAGTTTCAGGGACAGTCCTTGGATAGCAATCTTTGACTTTGAGAGACCTCCAGTTTATACCACTAGGTACAAGTAACAATGGCCGCATTCAACAGACTCAACAGTTGGACAACATTACTAGATTTTCCACTGAATCTCGCTCCTGATTGATAAATACTTCTGGGTCTATGAAGAATCTAAAAGAATGCTCTAATCACAGACAATAATCACTAAGCGCTCTCTGATCACTTTGTTCTACTGAACGCGGCCAATGGCTACGTTCAGTAGAACAAAATGATCAGTGAGCGCTTAGTGATTCTCGCTCCTGATTGGTAAATACTTCTGGGTCTAAGAAGAATCTAAAAGAATGCTCCAATCACAGATAATAATCACTAAGCGTTCACTGATCATTTTGTTCTACTGAACGCAGCCAATGCCTCTCTCTGTAGTCGCCGTGCGCTCAGAATAGCACTAGAGATGTTGTTTCCGAACACAGACTTCTATATAATACCAGAGAGAAACCTGAGAGCGGCCAACACGACATTTTCTGCGATACCAACTTTTCGCACTGGAAAAGGACGCCATCTGCATCCATTTTGAGAGGGGAACTACGATAGTACATCCACTTTCAGGTCTCGGTGGTAAAATCTGTATGTGGTGGAAGTCCATGCTACATCCATTTTCAGGCGGTTTATATCCGTGCTGCAATCACAGTTGTCATCTCTATGCCAGACTATGTCCGATGGTCTAAAAAGAGTGGGGGGGAGCAGAAAAAAATAAAAGTACGTATTAAGTATTAAATCTTCGAATATTGCCGTATCAAAGTCTCTTCTATAATAAACAATTTGACATGTCTGGAGACGCATGATGTATCGCTGCCCGTTCCCTTCATCCTGCTTCTCAATTCAGTATCCCGTCCGCTCCGAACATTTGCTCGTGGCATTGACAGTGGCCGTCGGTGAGCATTCGATCCGCTCAGAGGAGCACGTGTTAATTAACGCGACGCGACTCCGATTATAAATATCCCGCGAGTCGACAAAATATTTGAACTTTTAAAAAAAGCATCAAAGAAAATCACGTTGATGTTGTCATGGGTGAAATCTCACCCTGGTATATATTTTTTTATTTTCGAAATAAAGAAAGCCAAACGAATGCAATTAAATGTTATTTATTATCATTGAATATTATATGAAAAGTAGAAGAGTTATTGTCCGCAGCGGATAATCTAACATTTAATAAGAACGAGACAAAATTCGCGAGATGAAATTCCACTCTTTAACGCTACCATGACCTTTAATTATTCTCCGAAAACGGCGTTACAACAACTTTGATATTCTGTACAATTAGTTGCTAACATATTTTCTAATCGTACACATTCCTCTTTAATTAACATAAAGCTAACAAATATCCGATGCTTCGACAGAATAATTTTCTTTATTTTCAGTAATCAATAAGTAGTAAATCAATGTCGCGTATAGTTGAAAGGCCTCCCCGCATTCCCCTCGTTGTCCCGGAACCTTCGAGAAAAGAAAAGATGCCCAAGGGCAAGTCTCTCTTGCTTCAACCGCCGTCAATGTTTACATCGCGCCGATTGTGTTGATCGGCTCGCGAGCGACGACACTTTTTGCCCTTCGTATTATAATACTCGCGCACCTCGTGTATTCATTCCATCAACAGCAGCCGTGCGCGACGCGCTCGTCACTTCCGTCTCGAAAGAAATGTATCTCGTCGGTCCTCGAGATACTCAATCGGCATCGCGTCGTTGATTAACCGCATGGTCGAATCGCAAGTAATCGGCATTAAAAGCGTGAGCGAGTGAAATCCGAAGCGGGACTCCAGCAGCCGGGAAGCAGGACGCCGGCAGCGATATGTCACATTTCCAGGTATGTGGAATCATTTATTATGCGGGAGGTCTCCAATAACGAGAGCGGACGTTTGACGAATTTTCCGGGAATAAGAAGTCGGAATTTCGCGCTCGGCATTCACAATCCGTCATCATCCGACTAGTAATCATCACTTTATGAATTTGCAATTACTCTCGTCAATCTCTGTCTGTCTATCTATTTATTGCGTTGTTGTATACAAAAGATATTGATCCAGACAGAGACGGATAACGGTCTATGAATGCGGATCTCTAATTCATCATGTTCTTAATCAAACATTCTAAATAATTTCCAACTGTATGAGTATACCGGTCTTGTGTAGAATATTTAACGTCATACCTTCCTTTTAAGGCTCGTCTACAATAGCTGTAAGAGTAAGGCTGCAAGGCTGTAACGTAAGCTGTCAGCGAATGAAAACATTTAATTTCGTATCTTGCAACCTTACAGCCATACTCTTACAGCTATTGTAGACGAGCCTTTAGACTGCGACCTTTTTTGTTTTCGGTCAGTGCTTCTTTCAAATCTGTTTACTCTCGTTATGGAATCTAAATTTAAATGTCCATTCGTAAAAGAGTATTTTCGAGAGCACACAACTGTTATCTCCGCTTCTTGTTGTCATTTTTTTTCGACAGCTCTTTCAAAAGCTCCTATCTAGACTTTCAATCTCAATGAAGAAAAAAAATCGTAGCGAATATTCTCTACTCATCTCGACCAAACATTCTTTCTCTATCGCAGCTTACCAACCAGGAACGCTAAATTTTTGTTCCAGACGTTGCGGAAAGCAAGTCCGGCGGACGCGGATGCTGCACCGGAGGATCCGGTTCGGGTAGACCAGGGTCAGCCGGAAGGTAAAGTTTACAAGTTTCCTACACATCTGTGTTCAACTCTTTACAATCTTTGTCTTTGCAACTTGTTCCTCAGCTGTCTTGAAAGCTTCATGTCTCATTTAAATTTTCAATGTTGGAATAAAAATATAAAGATAAAAATTCCGTATCAAAATATTTCCGTATTTTCGATTCGTCCCGATCAAAGATATTCTCTCTCTACCGCAGGTTATCAACCGGGAAAATTATTTTTCTGTTTCGGTTGTTGTGGAAAGCAACAGCAATCCGGCGGACGCGGATGCCGCACCGGAGGATCCGGTTCGGGCCAAGCAGGGTCGGCTTGAAGGTAAGTTTACAAGTTTACTATAGTCCTCTGATTGACCTTTGGCGATCTAGAGCTGGGATATAATTTCCGGCTCGACTTGAATTACGATCGCAGAGGGTAAACTACTCTTTTACTCGCTCGCACTCGTTAGTCAAATCTAATAAGCGAATGTGAATTTTTTGTTACAGAGTTGAAGCGGAACGTGGCCGGCTCTGACTGCAAGTCGTTTCGGTGAGTAAATGCAACATGAAAAGATAAGCAAAATTCCGCATGACGGATGTGGGACTATGGGAGATAAAATATCGATCGATTCGAGTCAATGCGAATTGCAAATAGATTTTGCATGTGTGTGTTTGTGACGTTGAATAAAATACATTGCTCGAAACAATCAGGGGATTACTTGATCGATAGCTTGCATTACATACGAGATTTAAAATACCGAATGATTTTCTTTTGATATTCATTTGAATAAGAGATATTCATATCTACAATCGCGATACCGTCATCAGCTACTTTATTTTCATTTTTCAAGCGGGCCGCAGAATTATTTAACGACACTTATTTGATAATATTCAATTGTCCGTGTAAAATATATTCATACGTATAAATGCCGATACTGTTGGCTACTTTTCTTTTATTTCCAAAACAGGCTGTAAAATTATTTGGCAATATTGTCCATTCATCACGATCTCTATTGTCTCGAGTAGCGTATAATGCGTGCAGAAATTACGCCAGCGCACGCCGAGCTTGAGGTATCCTCGCTCGCGTGCCTTTGAATATCGCGACCACGATTACCGATATACGTGTTGTTATTCACGTTAACAAAGGAAGCTTAAATTCTCATTCCGCCAAAGTATCGCGAACGTAAGCTTCGTCGTGACGGAATTATAATGCGTGAAAACTTTGCCCCGCTCTCCTCTCCTCTCCACTCATACTCTCTCTCTCTCTCTCTCTCTCTCTCTCTCTCTCTCCCTCCCTCTCCCCCTCTCACCCCCTCTCTCCACCTCTCACCCCGCTCTCCCGAAGAGACCGGTCTGATTGTCTAATTTTTCCTCTCATGCATTCGCGAATATTCTCGTAGATATCGATACTCCCGCATTTTCGCGACTTTTCAGAAGCGATCGCGAAAAGCGCTGTAAAAATCTGTTGGATGAGTCGATAAATTTTCACACGGTTCTTGCTCCTAGCTGATCGAGTTTATAGAGTCCATTTCGCAACGCGTAAAAAGTTTCCAACGATGTCAACGTAAAACATTTGTTAATTGACGCAAATATCGCCGCTCTCATACAAGTATCGACCGCGTCGCGGAAGTGTGGCGAAAGTAATAATCAACGTGGGACGCGCTGTAAGATAGATGCTGCGCGACATGAAGAGCGGCAGCGGACATGGGCGGACATTGATTGATCTGGTTGGATGTAACGGGGCATCATCAATATCATCAACGGTGAGTATTTGA